AAATGTGGGAATGCCGACTGGTTCAGCCTTTTTGGAAAACAGTATGGACGATTCTCAAAAAATTAGAAATTGAGCTCCCATTTGACCGATCAATACCACTCTTGGGAATATATCCCAGAGAGGCAAAAAAGTACAGTCGAAGTGACATCTGCACTTGTTCGTTCATTGCAGCACTCTTTACAATAGCCAGAAACTGGAAGAAACCTGAGTGCCCAAGAACGGATTACTGGTTAAAGTAGTACCCTATTTTCCTTAATGAAATTTACTTTTAATCATTTTGAACTTTTTGCCTGTATCTGATTTGGCAGCAATTTTTTTTTATCAACTTACCTTTCTTGGGGAAGGTGCTCCAAATGGTGCTCAGAAGGTCTTGGGGTTCTTCCTGTGATTCACTGTTGACTAGGTCAGTGATTCAAGGTGAGGACCTCAGGATGCGAATGTAGCTAGTGATAGAGCACTTACCTTGTAGATATGAATCACTGGGTTAAATAGCTGCACTGTAAAAAAAAAAGTTGATGCTCTAGCTGGTAACATTAGCAGCTCTACCCTTAATGAGTGTTGACTACAATGTGTAATTCATATCTCTAAAAGATTTGGAGGAACTGGTAGTAAGTGCATATTCAATAAAATATAAATTCACCTCTCATCTTACTCTTACATGAGTCACCGTAGTTGATTTTATCGTACAATGTATTTGATCTCTTCTGTAAAGGGCATGGGGAATTTAATTATGTGTTTGAGATAGAAATTTCTCTTGCTCTATGAATCCAGAAAGTATATTATTGGGGATCTCACTCAGCTGGCTCTGAGTTTAGGGACTACTCCTGGTAGTTCTTAGGAAATCATATGTGGTGCTGGAGATCAAACCTATGTTAATTGTATGCATGGCCAGTGCCTTGCCAGCTGTATTGTCTCTTTGGTACTAATAAGTATGCATTTTGAACAGAAGGCATATTGACAGTGCTCAGGTCTTACTCCTGAATCTGTGCTCAGGGATCACCATGGTATTGCTCTGGGGACCGTGTGCAATGCTGGAAATTGAACTGGGTTCAACCATGTGCAAGACAAGCACCTTAACCCCTGTACTATCTCTCTGACATTATTATTCACATTTTATATGCCTTCACAGATCAACAACTGTAAAAGGTAAAGGTAAAGGCCCTCCTGTTGATCGTCGATTTGCTCGAGCGGGCCCAGTAACGTCTCCATTGGAGACTTTGTTGTTACTCTGTCTGGCATATCGAATACTCTCGGTAGCTTGCTGGGCTCTCCGAGAGGGGCGGAGGAATCGAACTCAGGTCGGCCATGTTGGCTGCGTGTAAGGTGAACGCCCTACCCGCTGTGCTATCGCTCCAGCCCAACAACTGTATTTGATCAAACTATTCATTGATTCACTTATGGATGTTTGTGCTTGGTCTTCAGTGTGCAATATCCCATTTAATCCTTAATTCTATGCAGTGGTATAACTACTCTCATTATACTTAGAAACATTAAATTTTCAAGATTTTTTAACTAAAAGAAGCTTAATGTCATTATTATTTTTGTTATAGTCTATACTGTCTCTACTGCACATTTCCAGAATAGGAATCTTTGATATTCACTATCATCCTGTTGTTCATCGATTGCCTCGAGCAGGCACCAGTAATGTCTCCTTCTTCCCAGTCTTGAGATTTTAAAAGAGCCATATTCAATGCTCTTTCAGGGTTAGGAAAATGAGACCCATCATTGTTACTGGTATTTGGCATATTGAGTATGACACAGGAAGTTTGCCAGACTCTGCCATGCGGGCAGGATACTTTCGGTAGCCTGCCTGGTTCTCCAAAGGAAAAACGAGATAATAAGATGTCTTATGTCTTTCAGAAGCTGTGTTTTATAGTCTCTGCGTCTTGGCCGTTGATGGGACCAACCTGGCGCCGGTGGCAGCTGGTAGGTGTGACGCCTACCTACTGGAAGATGGGGGACCTGGTTGGAGAAGGCCCAGTCCCAATCCAAGCAGGCTTGGAGATCTCATGCCTTTGTTCCTCTGCCAGTTCCTTCATGCATGAAGCTTGTCCAGATGTGTGGAGAGTGGTCTCAGCATGGTTGTGGCTGGTTCTGGAGGTCTTTGGCTGCTGGGGCTCTGCTGGGGGGGGGAGGAGGGAAACTCAACCTGGCCCCCTCCAAGGGGCCCCGGTGAGGACAGCCAGGCACGGGGGCAGGAGACTCTTTGATATTAATGTTAAGAAATATAGTATAATATATTTACATATATTATACTATATATAAATATACTATAAGAAATATAGTATATTTTTTAAAATATCGCTGGAGCGATAGCACAGCGGTAGGGCGTTCGCCTTACAAGCGGCCAACATGGCCGACCCGAGTTCGATTCCTCCGCCCCTCTCGGAGAGCCTGGCAAGCTACCGAGAGTATTCGATATGCCAAACACAGTAACAACAAAGTCTCCAATGGAGACGTTACTGGGCCCGCTCGAGCAAATCGACGATCAACGGGAGGGCCTTTACCTTTACCTTTACCTTTAAAAAGAAATTTAATTTGTTTCTAATGACATTTTTAAGAGACATTTCTGTGCTAGTCCCTTTATTCAGTTTTAATTTAATAGTCATAAGAAGACTTTAACATAGGTGTTTGTTTTGGTGTGTGTGTGTGTTTGTTTGCGGGGCACACACAGCTACACTCACAGATCACTCCTGCTCCGTGTTCAAGGGTCACTCCTGGTGAGCTCAGATGACCACACAGAATGCCAACAATTGGACCAAATTAGCTGCGTGCAAGCCAAGTGTCCTGCCCATTGCACTCTCTCCATTAACCTAGCTTCTAAAGCAACTACATGGAGATACAAAGGGGTCAAATTTGAATCCAAAGTTCTAATCCCAAACCCAGATACTGTTCCATTCAAGTCTCTTCTGTGTGGGAAATCATGCCCCTAATAAGAAACCCAAGGTTAAACGGGTAAAACAAGCTTAGCTTAGCTCAGACAATGAAGACTGCAAAGATGCAGTGAAGCAAGAAACAAGCAGCAAACATTCCACTAAAATACAACCAGAGATTAGCAGGACATCCCTGCTACATTTTAAGGGTGCTTGCCAATTGCTCATCACCCTATGGCCACAGCTATGTAAATATCCAACTTTGGGAACTAACATGTATGTTAACTCATAAGAATAGCTATTATGTTGGGAGCCAGGGTGAAGATAATGACAAAATCATAAATAAGCTAAAACTGCCCTTTTTTTTGTGGGGGTGATGGGGAACCACCTTTGTAGGGAACACCATCTCCCGGTGGTTGCTGGGCTTTCCTGCTAACCACCAGCTGATGCTAGGCTCCGATCCAAGACCTGTACTAAGTACTACCTACTTGCTCTTCTCTCTCTTCACCCGTGTTAATACCTGTACATATTTACTCTGCTAACAAAGCTTAGTAGAGTTCTCGATTCTCTATTGCCCACAGCAGGCAAACTCTACATATTCAGAGGAAGGAAAAAACCATCAATGTCTCAACGCCATCCCGACAACAACAAAGCCCAGAAGTTGCTAGGAGAAGCAGCAGGTAGACTTACACTGTTCATTATTTTATGGCATATATTATACAAACACATAACTATTTGATTGTTCACATCTTAATATCTTTTCTCTGGATTTAACTTATTAGCTCTTATTAGCAAGCAAATACTCACCACAATGTCTCAAGTGAGAAACAGCTGCTCAGAGATATGCTAATTGAATTTAATCAGTTACAAGAGTACCTTGGGCACTTGTTAGTGTATTTAATCAGCAAACTGGCCAGTTTGTTCTATCCACAATGTTTACAGAGGGTCTTCTATGAGCCGCGGAGTCTTCCAGGTTATTCTATCAAAGTAAGTGGAGAATTTATTCTGATGAATATGTTACTAACTAAACTAAAAATATGGATGGTGTGTGGGAAAAGAAAAATTGCATCAATTAATAAGAAAAAAAGGTGATGTTTTGATGGACTGGCTCTTAAACATTTTGCCTCTCAGATAAAATATGCTTCTGGAGGTTTCTGGGTTTTTTTGGGGTTTTTTTTTGTATTTGTTTTATTGGAACATTTGAACACAACGTGAAGTTTTACAGCTTTTCACTGATTAGAGTCATGGGGCTCTCAGAGCATTTTGCTTTTGGGTTTCTCCCAACTGTACTCTGGGTACCAGGAGGTGCAGAGGTCAAACCCCCAACCCATTGCATGCGCAGGATACACTCAGCCTATTGAGTTATTATCTCCCACCTTGGCCAACATCTTTTGCTAGTGGCAAGAAAAAAGTATATCAGACTTAAAAAGGGGGGGTGTACAAACAAACAAACCAAAAAATATCCCAGGTGTCTTCCCTTCTTATTCTCTTTATGCTTTAAGATGGAGAAAAAAACAAATAATTTATAGTGTGTATAGTATTTGTACCAATTCTCTTTCTTTCTAAAATTTGCACCAATTCCTTTTCTTCCTAAAAGTGCTCTGGCTGTAATACTTGCAGGGTCATCTTTTAGATTATCTGTAGCACTGTCCTCCCGTAACGTCTCCATTGTGAGACTTGTCGTTACTGTTTTTGGCATATCAAGTTTTGTCAGGTTCTGCCATGTGGGCAGGACTCTCCTGGTAGCTTGCTGGGCTCTCAAGAGGGACAGAGGAATCGAACCCAGGTCGGCCGCGTGCAAGGCAAATGCCCTACCTGCTGTTCTATCGCTCCCAACTAGATTATCTGTAGCCCTTTTTAATTTCTACAGCAGCGAAAACTAAAACCCCTTTTGGTTTCTGCTGGGAAACAGATCCTGCTTTACAAACTGCTTTTCCCCAACCCACAGACACTACCCTGATCCGTAACAAGCCTTTATCTCTGAACACCCTTGATGAACTCCATTAGAAACACAGGCAATAGAAGGCTCTAGGAATTACCTTTCAAGGGAACCTGCAGCAGGCACTAGGACCGCCCCGACGCCAATAGGCAGCCAGGCTTCACAGCCAGTCAGAGGAATTGAGCCGCCTTTGCTGTTACACAAGAAGCGAGCAGGCAGCCGGGAGCAGTTCAGCATCCTTCCCCCTTCTGGTGCATCGGAAGGTATTTACTCACTGTTTGTCACTCAGATTTTGCACACCAGCAATGAGCCTTTTGTGTTCACTTGATCTGATGCTCTGAAATGCTGTCCAGCACTTGTTGGGTTACTATATTATTTTATGCTAATTTCCACAGCTGATGGAAGCAAGAGTGCCATAAAGAAATGGGCTAGATGTTTCCAGAGGCTGAAATCTGAAGGCATTTGAAGGTGTAAGTACATCGGTACAGATGTCTAATGTGTTGGCTGTGTGAGTTGGTGTCTCTTGACCTTCTTCCTTATTGCAAAAGCCCATAGAAGCTGTCCTCTGCATACTTCATTCCTGAAGGAATAGCACCAAGACAGTAATATAAGCCGCTCATGATGGGCCCTAAACTTCTACTCTGGAGGGGCTGAGACTCCCTTTCCTTGCCCGAGGTCTTTAAGAGGAGAGCTTGGATTTGCAGTAGAGTTTTGTTGAGAGATTTCCCTCAGAGCTGCAGACTTGCTTGCTTTCTGCTTTCTGTTTGCAAAGCCCTAAGATTGTCCTGTCTAATCACTGCTGTGGTGCAATGTAGGAGTCTTTTAATACTTTCCTTATTCTGCATTCCTGATACTCATTCTAAGTGTGGGCTGCCAGAAAGCTGTTAAGCCATTCAGTTCCTCTCAGTGTAAAGCCATTGAAGAGAAACCCAGGGCTTTCTCTTGACCTACTACACCGAATGAGTACTACAAGTTAATAGCAGTCATGCTGAAGCACTTACCAAACTAATAACCCAAGAATCTCTTCTCTGTTTAGCAATAAATCTGGGTATGTATAGTAAGTTGCTATTACTTTATACCTTTATGAAGTAAAATGACTTTATGAAGAAAATGGATAATTCTCCTTAAGTACTCTATGAATCAATTGACAATTTTTTTAAGGCCTGTTGCCAGCAAACCTTTTTCAAAACTTCAAAGTCATCAAATTGGTAGGTTAGATAATTATTATTGTTCAAAATCTTGTCAAACTGTTAAGTGTTCTGCTAAAATGTAATAGCTAAATGTATTTATGAATGAAAAGCTGTTGAGTCATATTAATAGTCAATTCATAGGTAATTGTAAGATGAACAGAGATAACAAATTTAGTTCAGGGAAGAACAAACTAAGACCTCAAAGCAAAGTTTCAATATTAAAAATGCCACTTCAGTGACAAGCATTTTTAAAAGATTCTTAAATGCATTAAATTGTCCAAAAATATAGTTAGGTACATTCGATTTAATATATTGAATAACTCTAAATGTGATTTCAAATTATTTTGTTATCAAACTTTTTGAAAATATGCCCGTAGTTATCCTAAAACTCTTAAGAGAAAGTCGAATAGTGGGTATGAAAGAGGGAGGTGAGTTTCACATGTTTTTTATTTTAAGCTTTCTGATGGAATATTTTCTATATAAATATGCTGTCTGTACTATACAAACCTGCTTCCTATACTTTAAAAAAATAAATAAAATTACAGTTGTTTGTAACAATTTGTAGTATCATTAAAGTTCAAACAAACATTATATAAAAGTCAGTATTTCTGTTTTTACATGAAAAAATTATTAAGATAGCATAAGGTTATGTAATTGTGAGAAATATTTCTTAGACTGGGAAAATCTTGTTTGAAAATAATAACTTGCTTCTACAGAAACTTAGGAAAATCAGAGTAGGCATATAATAGGCTTTTAATATTTCTGAAACAAAAGACATTATAAAACTTTATTTTTAAGTTATTAACAGTACATTTTCCTTTTTTCTTTCACAACTTTTTTCTATAAAATTTGCATGAATAAAAATCTAAAACAAATTTGTTCAAGTGGCATATCTCGTAATTTCTCTTTAAGAATAATCCCCTTAACTTTAATAAATCTGGCTGTGTGAGGGATGCAAGAGAATATCCCTATTATATAAATTTCCTATGTAACATTATGGTAGATATTTCTAACAAACTGATTTTCACATATATGTGTATTTAAAGGCTGGAGCGATAGCACAGCAGTAGGGCTTTTGCCTTACAAGCAGCCAACCCGAGTTCGATTCCTCCACTCCTCTCGGAGAGCCCGGCAAGCTACCGAGAGTATCTTGCCTGCACGGCAAAGCCTGACAAGCTCCCCATGACATATTCAATATGCCAAACACAGTAACAATTGTCACAGTGAAGCCGTTACTGGGCCTGCTCAAGCAAATCGATGAACAACGGGAGGACACTGACAGTGACAGTGTATTTAAAATGACTTTTGTGGGACTAGGGATACAGCTCAATGGTATTTGATGTCTTACATGGATGAGTCCCTGGGTTTATTTTCTGTCCCATGCCCAACTACATCCACACATGAACACACACACACACACACACACACACACACACATACACACACATACGCACATACACATACACACAAAGGAGTTCTGCTGGTATAGAATCTGATGACATGGATTTTATCTTCAGTGTTGACTTATTTTCTAAAGGCCTTAACATATTTTATATCATTCTGGTTGTTAGTATGCATGTTTAAAAAAAAAGGAAAAACAGAGCTTTTTTTTTCACGATTAAATTAAGGGAGAACATCAGCAAAATTTGTGGTGGCATTTTAGCTTCTATTTATTTGGATTTGATGAGCACCTAAACTTTGAGTAAGAAACTTTATCCCTCCCCACTCTCTCCCCTTGGAAGAGGCAGAAAATGCAACAAGTTCTCTGGAGCTTACTTCTATCGGGAAACTTGTGGAAACACTTTGTGTTAATAGAAGGGACAAGGCCAGAGGTGAACAAATGACAAATTGTTCTTGATTTATCCTGACAATTAACTTCAGTGCTAACTTGGATTTGAAAGAGCCATGTGGCCAATATGCAAGCCACACAATAAATAGGAATTATAGGTAACCACATTTTCTTTGCTATCAAATCATGATTTTGGTTAAGGAAGAGAGCATAAAGTGATGGAATGAGAATTTTCAGTGAGATGTCACATCCACATCACTTATGGCTGTGTTACCCAGCAGGGATAAATTTTGTATTTTGTTGGAATTTCACAAAAGGGTTAAAATGTTGTCCTTGTGGATTATACTTATCCCTGAAAGAAAATACCTTCAAGGTTTTAGGAAATATGTTTATAAGCACAAGAGAGAGCTTTTAAATATATAAGCTCTAACCTTTGAGTGTAAAAGACCAATTAGAAATATGCAATGTGCATTGTTGATATGCAATTATCTACAAAACCTGGTTTAATTGCCCTTCTCCATTCAGACAATTATAGCTGATATGACCACAGAGTATTGCCAACTTATCTCAGTTCTTTCCTTTTCCATCTTAAGTTTATTTGGGAAGAAACTAAAAACCTTAAGAACATTTTAAAACATAAATAACATTTGTATTCTCCTTTTAAGTTGGAAGAAAGCTTAGTTATTCAGGAAAGATATACTGCAATGACTGCAATTTATGCTTTGAAAATAGTGTGAAGTTCTATGGAGACAGCACTTACTATTTTGAGGTATTCTCTTTTAAAGATACTTATAGATTCTTCACTGTGTGCTAACGATGGACAGGTTAGCATACTAAACAAGATCTTCCCCATGCTCCATGCTCTCTGTCATGCTGTGGAGGAAAATAGGCAAGGAACAAATGTTGTCCACCAAAACATGATTACTAAAACCATGTTTCATTCTTCTTATAATTTATTATACTCTATCAAAGCCAGAACTTATCTAATAGGCTCTAACTTAAAAATTAAAATAATCTGTAATAATAAAAGATAACATGGTAACTTTTTAAGATGTGGGTGTCTGGAAGACACTCTGAAAAAGTGACATCTCATTGGAGATCTGAGTATAAAAAGCAGCCAGATAATCTGCGTTGGTGTGTTATAATACAGACTTCGTGCAAACCTACTGCAATTTAAATCTATCCTATGCTATTTTTAAACCTGCAACAAGCTTTTTACCCTTTGAGTGCCCTTGATAAAAATGCACAGAGTAGTAAAAAGATTGAATGTTCTTAAGTTTTGAGAAGTTAGGTAACACGTGGAGTGTCCTTGTAAGTACCTGGCTCAACTTGAATTTCTATGATAGATTTTAAAGTGTGGTGACTATTTGAATAAATTTTGTCCTTTCAAAACCTTGTCAAATAAGAAGTGAATTTCTTTATATTATTGAAGGACTATGTTTTTGAAGATTTTTTGGTGATTCTATATCACATAGCTGTAGAAAAAAGCTGGTGCTCCTACAGATAGCAGAGATGGTTGTTCCCAAATCTTCTACTGAACATTTAGGAGATTCGTTAGATCAGTGATGGTCAGTGTTTGATTGTCTCCCCAGACACTTCCAACATAGTGATTATTTGGAATTGAGATGTTGGTCTTCCCAAGGAAGGCTGGTCTCAGATCACCACTCCAGAGGGATTTAGACTGTTAGGTCGGACTGTTCCATCACGTGAACATGGTACTTCTTTCTATGCAGCAGATGCCTCAGGCTCCAGTCAAAAGAAGCAAGTTCACTGATGAGGAAGATAGATCACAGATGCCTGGACTGACTCCACCTAAACACTGCAGGCTCTTGTCGCCTGGACTGACTCCACCTAAACACAACACACTCTTGTCATCGTATGAGCATGCACAATTGAGTTTCTACTTGCACAACACAAATACGGAACATATTCCCTTTATATTATATGTATGCATATGTACACACACACACATATATACACACAAACAAATATGTATATGTTTCCTCATGTTGTCCTTCATAATAAAGATTGGTCTAGATGGCAAATTATTCAAGTTAATTCCCTTAATCCTGAATGTTATGAACTAGACGTAACTGATGTTCTCAGACAGACTCCAGCATTGAATTGGCAGTAGGGGTTGGAGAATTGCTATTGTTTTCCCTCAATCATTTGAAAAAAATTATTAACCCTGAATATTATAAAATGCTTGTAACTGATTTTGTCAGACAGACTCCAACACCAGGTTTGCAATAGGGGTTGAAGTTGCTGTTAGGTCATTTGACTTGGCCAGGTTTCTGATATGGCAGATAAGATGGAATTCTCCAAAGTAGCAGTCACAGGCGAAATGACAAATTAGTTGAAAAGAAATTCTTTAGATGCAGGACCACCAGAGACAAAGGTTGTTGCTTAGGATGAGGCAAAGGAGAGGGTCAAGTCAGAGAGCGAGAGCATGAGAACGTGTGTTTTAAATACACATGTAGCTTTCTCCACT